CTTTTGAAAACTGGTTGGTATTATGAATAGAAAAAAGGAAACAAATAGTATGATGCCTCAGCAGAAAACTCTGAGAAGAAAAAACACACAGGAGAATAAAAAGAGTTTTAAAAAAGTTTTAAAGCTGAGTAAGATAAGGAAGGACTCTATGTGCACTGAATTAAAATTCATCCCTGAGGTGCTTGCATGAGTGCACACACATGCTCACATATGCATACACAAGAAAGAAATTGAGTATACAGGGGAAAAAGGGAATCAGTAATACATGCCAGAAACTTGAAAATTTCTTCAAGAGTAAATGGGAGTGGTGAGGAAAAAAACTACTAAGATGATATAGGTTATAAAGGAAAAAAAAAATGACTTAACCTAAGAATCGTAGGTGTTTCTGTATATTTAAGGAAAATTTGGACAGAAGTAATGAGAATCTTAAGGAAAATAGATCTCAGCTGAAAATATATTCTGGTAGGCAGACAAAATCAATAAAAAAAGATGTGTGCATTTTTGTCAAAATATTTTAATTGTAACTAGTTGTTTTGTTTTAAGCCTGAGGAAAAATGATACAAAGAAATAAAAATACACTGGCCCCTAACAACATTGAATGTGTGAAAGCAATGGGCCAACTTCAACCTAATTTTAGAGGAAAAGGTTATAGCTTTAGAAATGTGCATCCAACTGAGTTGACATTTCTATTTGAAGGCCTTAGAGAAACATTTGTATATATGTGAAAACTTAGCAAATATACTGCAGGTAAAGGCTTTTGATAAGTACTCTTTATGAAATCTACTCATAAAATAAGAATTTAGACAAAAAAAAATCAAGAATGGAGAAATCACACAGTAAAAAGAGCTGTAAGTTGTAAAAAAGAAATACTAAATGTAAAGATAAGTTAAAATATTCCCAAATAAGGAAAAGAAGATAAAGAATACAAAAATACTTCTCTTGAAATAGTTTAAAAATAAAAATACAAACTATATCAATGAAGACTATGGACGTGAGTTGAATTAGGGAATTTAAGAATGTTAAATTTCTCATTTTAAGGGGGGGAAATACTTATTTTTAAATTCTGGATTCTATTATTAGAATGTTTTTTAAGTTGAAAGTACTTACCAGCAGAAAAAACAAATTTAAAATCAAAAGAGAAAAATAAAACCAAGCAATATAGCATCTATGTAGTATAAACAAACAAGAAACTGAATAAAAATAAGTAAATAAATGCACAAGGAAGATATAAAACCAAATATTTTAATATTATATTTTAAAAGCAGGATAGAAAAATTAAAACATGACCCTAAAACAAAGAAAATACTCTGAAGTGGTAATTTTCTCTCTAGTTTTTTAATATAGTGGTAATTTTTCTTTCTTCTTTATGTGTATTTTCTAAGTTTCCAAAAATGACAATAATTTTTACAATAAAAATACAGGTTGTGATAAAATAATGTAACGGTAACATTGGCTTCCTGTAATGTCACTTTGGATAAAAAAAGAGATGCAAATGAGGGAAGATACGATGATCTTATAATAAGGAATATAAAATTAGGTATTAGCTACCATTGTGTATAAGAGTAATGTTTTCTGAACTTCTAGGCCAGAGAATGTAAACATTATTAAATCCTAGGAAAGAAATGTTATCTTCACAGTGAATGGCATATCAAAGTCAGTGTGTGAGAATGTGAGTCTAAGTGTGTGTGTGTATATAGTTGTGTGTTTAAATAAATTTCCTCAGCCATAACTGACAATTGTAGATTGTAACATTTGCATATATGTGAAAGCTCAGCACACACACTGCCAACATAGGCTTTTGATAAGTACTTTTAGCGAAATCTATTCATAAAATAAAAATATACTCAAAGTAAAAAAATCAAGGAATAAATCCTGCAGTAAACAGAGCAATAAGTTGTAAAAAGATAAATACTAAAGGTAAAGGTTATTCTAGGTATAAATCTCACTATCCAGTTATTTCTTACTTAACTTTTATATTATCTGTTGAGATATGTTAAGTCAATCTAAACTGATATCCCATATATGTATATGCACACATATATATATATAAAGTATCTCCACAGAAAACTTTATTATTCAAACTCCTAAATGTATTCTTAAGCATATTTCACAGTTTATTCTGTGTGTGAAACAAGTATTTTCTCACTTATAAATGATAGATTCCTGATTCAAGTAAGATGTGTATGGTTTCACAATCAAAGGCTGGAAGACTCATATCATTGACTCTCCAGGCCACTACTGCATAAGCAAGCTGGAAATCAAATTGCACCAGGAGGCGCATAATTTATGTATTAAAACTGCAGAAGAAACCACAGCTGAAAAATTATCTTGGAGTGAACAAATGACTAAAGTATCCGAATTGCATTGCTTAAGTGCAACAATATCTTACAAATCCCATTCTAAAGGGACAGATTATCCATCAGAGAAAATGAACACATTCTAAGCATAGAATTTATCAAATAGTCCATCTTTAGTACCAATTTTTCTTTTGATTTTTGATCACTTTGAGAACAACAACAACAAAAAGATGAGATTCACTAGAAACTATTTTTCAGAATAAATTGCAGCCACATAAGTATAACATCTGCTAAAGAAAAGCCAAACCAAAAAATTCATTTCATCTATTTTTCTTTCTGTACACTAGATACTTGCATAGCACTGTATGAAGAAAACATTGTTGGGCCTTTGGATACGATAACATCAAAAACAAAATGTCTTTCTGAATAAAACTGCTTCCCTATATTTTTTAATTGTCTTTACCTTTTTCAAGACTTGTTATCTTTCGAGATATGTTAAGCTGGCAGTAGATGTGATAGCAGAATTGAAAAATAAACCACTTTTTGGCTCTTTTTTTCCTCACATTCAAAATACATGGTAGAAATTTTTGTGCCAGATTGCCCTAAAATCTTCATAAAGTAGTGCTTGAGTCTCTCCATTTCTTGCAAGTTATAGTCAAAATGTTCATATTTAAGTAATGATTAATAACTCTTAGTATACATTAAATTTTGCTATATCATCTAGTATTGAGAAAGTCATTGTTAAAGTGATGAAAACGCATGGGGTATAAGACAAAACTGCTGTTAAAAAGTAGTTAGCTATATTTTGCTTAGCTCACAGAATTCTTATTCTCTTATATTTTAATCTTTTAAATCAAACTACATGAAGAAGTTGAATCTGTACATAATATTAGTATTCTCAGAGGAATAAGATTTTATATCCAAAGGATGTATTTGAAGATAGAGAAATGAGAGAGAATAAAGAAACTCAACAATATTTTTTCAATTTCTTTCATCACATATACTAGTTTTCTCTGCGATTTGGAAATTGTAGGCATTTCGTATATTGCAGTACATTTATAATAGCCATAACATGTACTTAGGATTGAACTTTCTTCATATCTCAATCATCATCAAAATAGAAAGTAACATTCCTAGAAGAAAAGCACAGACTTTTCTTCAATTCTAAAACTAACAAAATAAGCAAATGACAAAACACAAAACAAAATAAAACACAATCACTGATACTGAAATGGACACAGATAAAACACATTTACATAAATAAATGACTTAATTTATGCAAAAAACGTTTCCAAATGAAACTTTTCCCCTTAGTCATAGCTTTTGATTGTTTACTACATAGGCACTTCATTAATACCAAACTTCTATAACTCATTCATCATCGACACTAAGGAATTAAAATCAAAACTTGGAAATACCATGATTTTGTTGAGCAGGGGCATTTTTTTTTTTCTGGTTCCAGCTGATAGTAATTTAATAATGGGAGATAGAATATAGCTCTAAATCAGTAGTTCTGATCAGGGACAATTTTGTTCCCCAGAAGACATTTGGCAATGTTTATAGACATTTGTTTGTTGCAACTTTAGGTGGTGGTACTGGCATTACTGAAATGGATAGAAGGAAATGATAGTTCTAAATATCCGCCCCATAAAGGAAAATAAAGTACTTGGCAGAATGCCAAGAAGTTGAAACGCGTTGCTCTAGATAAGAAGGCATTTGGGTAGAGAAGCAAGTTTTATCAGGAAACATTAATTTTTATAAAATATCTCCCACCAAAGTTTGAAGCAATAGTTTAGAAAGATTTTTTTTTGATGGCATTTATAAAGAATTGTGACTTTGAAAGAGAATTATAAACTTGAATTTCTAGCATTTATAAAAATTTTTGCAATAGAAAATTGGAGTAGAACACAATAGAACTATGGAAGTAGATTAAATTAACTTTAGTTGAAAATAGATATTTATCATGTAAAGTAGCCGCAGGGCTCCAGGGTTAAAAAACACATTCTGAGCTCTGTTGACTATTGTTTTCACTAGGGCCCTAGTGAGAATAGGTCATCAATGTCGGGTCCCAACTGGCAGTCGGTTGCATATCATATATTATTTGCTAAATATTAAACTAACTGTATTAATATCACACCAATCTGTGGGTTCTGTTTCTTTGAAATAATAATTTCAGTTGCATTTACACAGCTCTGATATCAAAAGACCCTTTCAAATAATATAACTCGATGATAAGTAAATCAGACGCACCTGTATTTTCCATCTCTAGTCTGATGCTAAAAGTAGGTATAGCAAATAACCATTTTACTTACAAAAGAATGTCGAAATAGCATCTAATGGAATCTGATTTTCCATAAAGTATAATTTTGGGGAATAGAAAGGGATAGGAAGAGCTTTGGTTTGTTCAGCATGGTTGTCATGCTACTATGTATAGAACCTTTCTTTCTATTGCAATGTGGAGTCTCTGACAGGCACAGGAAGGCAGGGAAAAGGAAAAAGTAAGGGGAGTGTTTCTACTTCATGAAGACAGATACTGCCTTCTCTGCTGTGCACTGAAAAATGATACAATGATATCAGTTTTCCCCTGAAGAGTATTATGTTCTAAGGATACAAAAATGCCATGTTTACTAAAACCGTTTTCTCAGAATATTTAAGCTACATAAAGAAATTTTCTTATTTTTAAAAACTACCCAACACAAGCTCTTAAATATGTAGAATTTCATTTAAATAAGTCAGTCAACAATTTTTTATAAAGTATTTAACACTTCATTGTAGAAACATAGGCAAAATGACTATATTATAACCAAAATGAAAAATACTGTTCAATTTAAAAAATGTACTTAAACAAGAACCTGAAAAAGTTTATGATATGCATAACATTGTTCAAGCAAAATTGCACTAGTATTACATAAATCAATAGTTTATAAAGGCCTCAATATGGCAAAGTTTAGAAATAGGTAGTATGCATGCACATAGTACAACAAAAAGTCTTCTTATAAAACAGCAGTTTTTTTAATGCTTGTACAAAGGGATAAAGAGCAACCACATATTTAACATATTTCATCTGTTAGGTTAATACATTATGACAGCTAAAAGTCAGTCATGTCTATCGGAGGAACAAAAAGCCCTCCAAAACTTGTGAATAAATCTTTTGTGCCTTTAAAGATATTTGTATAAAAATGCTATCCTTTTTTTTAATACAACTTAAATAAATCACACTTGTTTCAACTCAAATTTGAAGATAAACAAACCAAATGTGAATGGGGTCCACGTGTTCTGTAAAACCCAAGGAAACCTGAATACCAGAGCAACTGGTACAGCATTTAGACTCTCCACCTTCGATTATGGGCAGATCATTGTTCTTCTACAACTTGGAAGCCTCTTGAATATATTTTGGATAGAGCGAATAATGGATTACTCATATTATATCTTGAAAATATTTACCAATCACTATGTGTACTAAAATGTCTGCTTTGCCCTTTGTTTTTGACCTAGTAAAGAGGATGCATTCACATAATTGAAATTCTGTCATCAATTTGTGTGCTTATGTATTATTCTTTAGTGTTTAGTGTAGTAAGGGGTTTGGTTAATCTTCCACAAAATGCATGTGACTGGGAAGAAATACCTAAGACACAAGTACCCAATGCCCTGTTGTGCTCTAGGCTGGCTATCAATCTCAAGACTGAGGGAGAACAAAAGGTCTTATTCAGTAGCAAGTGCAGTCTGCCAACTTTCAGTTATATTTTTGCTATGTTCTACCACCTAAATATAACTATTGCTTACAAGGTGTATGCATTTAGTACATCAGATAGAGTCCACTAAGTTTTGGAAAATGGAGTCATCTGTGTTCATGCAAATTATTAATTTTACATATTTTTAATTTTTTTCCTCAAAATTCTCATCTATTGGTTGGCAATCTAAGGCTAATTTCAAAGCAGGTGATGCTGAACTTGTGAGAGCTATATATTTTCAGCAGAGTCTGAATCAATCTTTATGGGCACAAAGAAGAGAGTTGATCATTCAATCATTTTCCCATCAATCAATTTAAAGAGAAAAATAAAATGACACTGTATTACAGCTTTCAAACCATATAATGGAAAAGTGCAGAGATTCTCTTTGATTAAGTACAACCAAAAAAGTTCATATAAAATAGATTGCTTATATTCACACTACAAAGGAATATGTTGTTTTTAATTTTGACAAATTCAAAGGTGTGTCATATCAGCAGCATTGTTGTAAATTGTACTGTAGTGCAGTTCTTTTTCATAAAAATACCATACAAATGGTCAATCAATAGTCATCAGCAAAACATAAACCCAAAAACTCAGAAAACAATTAACCAGGAAAAAGATAAAGAAAGAGGTAATGCTGATGCCAAAACAAGTATAATACTATTGGAACATACAAAAGTAATCCTTATATTTTATACATTTATACAGCATATAAAAGGTATCACTGATTATGCCACTGTCTCTCTTATACCAATTTCTATTTTCTTTGGAAGCAGTTCTTTCCTTTCATCAACACTTCCTAAGGAGTTTCGACAGTTTTGCCCATCCATATATAATTTTGCATATACTGGATTGGAGTAATTTGTTGGCTGAAGGAGAAAAAAATACATAATTTTATTATTGGCCTTGGCCACATAATTATTTACTTCCTAGAATGTCCGTCTCCTAATCGTAACATATTTATATGCAATATATTTATTAAATAGTAATTATTTAAATGTTATTTATATGTTATGCTTACAGACTGTAGTCAACTCAAACAAGGTATTACATAAACCATAATTTTACATTTTTCAAGTAACTTGTAAACCTAAAAGGAGCTTTGCCATACATAAAAACCCAGAAAAAGTCTTTGTGAAAGCTATGTTCACTGAGACTTTATTATAAAAGCATAAAATGTGAAACTAAATTGTCATGTTTTCAGTTTTTGTGTTGTCCCCTTATTGCTATTACAAGCCAATCAACAGCAAGTAACATGTGTTTTCAGAAAAGCATTTGTTTGGTGCTTATAATATTTCAATATGAACTTAAAAACAAGTAAACAAAAATGTAAAGAAATATGTTAGCATAGCAGATTTAAAATAAAAGCAAGATTATTATTTTTTTTTTTTGCCTCAAACAACCTCTGTGTACTTATTAGAAATATTTTTGGACTTTTTCAAAGAATTGTGATGTACACAGTCATCTTAAGTTTCATAAACACTTACAGCATTTTGAAGTAGAATAGAGGCATGCAGTAGTTGACCTCTTTGAGTTGGAAAACATACATACAATGTTCATTATTTAACAAATTGCAACTTATCCCAAGAAAGTTTTTCCTAGTGTGTGTTTGTTTTTGTTATTTTTTGTTCTGTTTTGTCTTTCCAAAAACAGCACATTAAATCTTAGTTACAACAAGGAAACATAATCTTTGAGCCATGTAATTGAGACAAACATGATAGAGAATGAGGATGAAAACAGCTAATGGGAAAGAGGATAAGGGACAGAATTCTCATCCCTAGGAATCTTGATATGCATATTTTCTCCTCTTCTGCTTAAAATGAACTAAGTAACTTTAGACGGAACACCTTTCTCTAAACACCAGTTACTTAATTGAAACATGTTTTTGAGAATGGTTTTGTTAGAACCTCTGTAATTTCTCAATATGATGACACATTTTAAAGTACAGTCTATTTAACTGCACATCAAATTTGTACATATTAAATAAACCACTATGAAAGGAAATGAATAAAATCAAAAGTTTAAATTATTCAGTTTAAATTTCTGGCTAGAGCTTCTTTTCTAAGAATAACAAATACTCATGTTCATTGTTAAGGGGCTATAGCATTTCCAAATCCAGTAGAAGGGAGATTTCTACTTAATGGCTTACCTAAAATAATAAGGTTTTGGATGTAATCTTGTATAGACAGAACACATAACATAAGCCCCCAATCTAAATGCTATTTTGAAATCTCTTGTTAATTAAAAATTTAATTAAAACAAGCCTCTAAGTCTAGTAATCAATGTTTAATTGCGAGGGTTCTGTGATGAAATGGACATGAAATAATGAATATTCTTCTCTCACCCCAGCAGTTAGTGGTCCTTTCAAATCAGAGTTTAGGTAGATGGGCGGCGCTGTGTGTGGAAGCTTGAAAGCACTGGGTCCTCCCGCTATGTATCTGGCCTGTATATAAACAGAGAACTTTAGTTTCTGATCTAATATTATGGAACCACTTTTCATTGATACATATCATGTTAATTCATAAAAATAACATAAAACTCTTTAGCCTTAAGTCATTTATAGTGTATTCATGTTAGCTTTAACAACTCAAAACAACTTAAAAGATCCAATACTAATATTGGATTCAATATTAGTATTGGATCTATTGGATCTTTGCTTCACAGGTAGGGACATTCCTCTCACAAAAGTCTTATTCAGAAAATACAAAAAACAGTCCAAGTAAGAATTGGCGTGAATTTGAAGATAAAACTAGTACATATTAATTTATCTCTTTTACAGTCTTCAAACTATTCTGTGGTTGCTCCCATAGTCAAATCTATTTTATGAACTGTGTTAAGTACTTTCAATCCTTTTGATTATAAGATACCATTGAACTAGAAATTTTACCCTCTTTGAAAATAACAGAAATGAGTGTTCTACAAAATTTTTTTTCGTATGTAATGTAATTTATACTGATTAGACCATGCATATATCAAACCCTTGTAACAGAGTGAATATTCTGTAAGATTCATATGATTATGAAGGTTGCTTCAATGTGACCCTTTGTTTTTCACTACTGTCTAAACCTATTAGAACTAGCTGTAGTTACTCATTTGACAACAATTCACATTTACATTCAAATATCAGGATCCAGCTAGACTCAGTCATCTAAGTCATATTTGATGAAATTTTGGTTAGTCAGTCATCAAATTGGTAAATATTTATTGAGGATTATGCTCTAAGTACATTAAAATATATTTGGGTGGCACTGAAGCATAGGTTTATTTTCCTAGAGTAAATGTGAAAATTTTTAAAATGTGGTATAAAAAGCTATTGTCTTTAAGTGTACAAAATTGGATTAATTCTATCACTGGAAATAAAAGTGATGAGGAAAAAGTAAGAACTCCTCTTCATATGAAATATGCATACAGTATATCCTCATTAGTCTATATTATATGTACGAATACTGTATTTTTATTCTTAAGAAAAATGCAAAGATTTCAGAACTCTATCATTTAAGATGTCTTTCTCCTTCATAGATATAATAGATACACAGTGAACAATATGTATTGTGTCTCCACTTCTGTGATATTTTAAAGTAGAAAATATCAAATGTAAGGATACCAGGATTTTTTCCTTGAAAAATTTCAGATGTAGCAGTGAATTAATTAATAAATAATAACTATAAAATTATGTCTAATTAGAAAAATATTATAGTACTGTCCAACAGTACACAATGTATCCATGTGAAAAGATTGATTGATTTTCATAGAAGTGAATATTTGAGCATCAATTTCAGGCTAAGAAAGTCTAATCATGGATTCAGAACTAGATTGAATATGTGGGATCCTATTCAACTCCTTCAGGAGCACCTGTGACTGTGATTGCAAAATAATTTCAATGTAGATTGGCCACATTGAATATTTACAATGTAAAAGTGCATTTTGATGAAGTAACTTTTATAAGTCAGAAAAATAACTATTCAATAAATAAACGAATACGCCAAGAAAAATTGTTTCATAATAGTAAATTGATACTCTTAATTTAGAGAAAAATGTTCTAAAATTATCGGAAAGAATATTCAGATAATTCAGTGAAGTAAGTCTTCACAAGTTTAACTGGATAATTGTATCATTTAGCTATTTCTCTTAAAAGTTGCCAACCTGAGCTTATAGTAATAAAAACTAACAAATTTTTAAATTTAAAAGGCTGTGGATTGTCAAGCTATATGTATCAATGAAATGTTTTAAACTAGTAAGGATATTATGACAGAAAAATGTTTCTCAAAAGTAATTTAATTACAAAGAAGTCCAGGGACACAGCTTATCTGGCTCCTCATTTAAACATTATTGGAAACAACATACTTATTTTGACAATAAAATACTGTACTTTTATATTTAAAAATACACTGACCAAGATTTTTACACTAAGCTGTATATCTAGATTTGCTAATACCTCGACACATTTGATCAGATAATTATTTTACATAAATTATACATATTTATGAGATACTGTGTTATGTTTTTATACATGTATACATTGCAGAAAAATAAAGTCAGAGCATTTAGCATATCTGTCACCTCATATATAGTTATGATTTTTTGTGGTGAGAACATTAAAAATCCTCTTTTCTAGCTATTTTGAAATATACAATACAATATTGTCAACCACCATCACCTAACTGTGCAATAGAACACCAAAACTCATTCCTCCTATCTGACTGTGACTTTGTACCCATTGACCAACATCTATCTTACTTCCTCCTCCCCTCTCCATCCTCTAGTAACCTATATTCCACTCTCTACTTCAATATTAATTTCTATAGATTCCACATGTGAGTGAGATCATGTGGTATTTGTCATTCTGTGCCTGGCTTATTTCATATGTAACAATATTTTTCAGCTTCATCCAGTTGCCTCAAATGACAAGATTTCTTTCTTTTTTATGGCTGAATACAATTTTCTTTATTCACTGTTGATGCACACTTAGGTTGATTCTATATCTTGGCTATTGTGAGTAATGCTGTAAAAAAAAAAAAAAAACATGGAAGTAGAGATATCTCTTCAATGTACTGATTTCCTACTTATTATGGATCAATTAAAACAAAAAATAAATTTTAAAAGGAGGATGCCATGTCTGAAGTGATGAAAATGAAACTATCTTGTTAGTATCCAGAACCAAAACCCCATAGAACCACACTGTAAGGAATACTGGGAGGAACTGGGTAGAAATATCCCACCAAATGACTTTTCAGTCATATCGCTAGAGGCTGTGCATGTATTGGTCTTCTCCTTGCATACATTTCAACCTTGAAAGTCAGTAGCTTTACTTTATAATAGACCTTTATCTATCTATATATCTATCCACCCCTTGAAGAAGACTTAAACAATTTGCTGTGTGATAACAATACTAAAACAATTTTTAAATGGATTTTTCATTTGCTTAGGTAAACAGATGAGTCATTTTTCAATAAAAACCATATAAAATAAATAACATCTTTATAAATGAACTGAGCAAATAATTATATTTTCTAAGATGTATTACACTAACTTGCAGCTTCAGATGAATGCAGTCCATAATTGTACTTTCTCTTTAGAAGAGGCTATATCATTCAATACATCCTAAAGTCTCTTATTCTAACTTCAGATAACAGAAAAACTTGGTGAAATTCAGAACCATAAAACAGAGATGCAACTCAAGAATGTCAGTGCTCACTACCCATTATCTTAAGACATATTACCTTTGTTGGGTCTATCATAAAGCCAGGATCTAAAAGACCTCCATCGCTGTGATCATGGTCTACCTCATACATGTTATAAGATGGATTGCCAATTTCTACATTTATTCCTCCATTGATAATAGGTTGTCTTCTAATTGTTTTTGTCCTAGAATATGTGAACATTAATATGTGTGAGTTTTGTATAAATATCACAAGGTATATGAAATTATCATATTTACAAATTTACTTATTTTGAAATAAATTGAATAAATGACATTTGTCGGGTAACAGAGGAACAAAAAGTAGTACTTTGATAGGCCATTTTCCCAGTTGTTTGACTTAATAAAAACACACTGGAAATAAATACCTCCTGAATAGCTAAAACTACATCATTTGAAATTGAATATTTACCAATCAATTATCTTTTTAAATTCTATTTTTTCTCCTTTCTGAAAACTATTGCAACAAAAGAAACTCGTAGATTGTTTCCGATCTCCAAGTTACAAGGTTAGAATCCAGATTTATATAATTCAAATAGTGACTCAAAAGCTCTTGATTTTTAAGCTTATTTTGTACAAGTGCAAGTTTGTTACATGGTTATATTGCATAGTGTTGAAGCCTGGGCTTTTAGTATGTCCATCATCCAAATAATGTATACTGTATCCATTAGGTAATTTCTCATCATCCACCCCACTTCATTCCCCACCCTTCTAAATCTCTAATAGCTATCACCCTACACTCTGTGTCCATGTGTACACATTATTTCATGTTCATTTATAAGTGAGCACACATGGCTTTCGTATTTCTGTAGACAACCTACTCCTCTAGATCTATAAGTTCATTTTCATATGAATTGAAATGATACTTCTAAAGAGATATATCTAAATCAATTCACTATTTGTGAATGAAATGTACAAATTGGAGATGTACATATGCATATCAGTATCACTGTATTGACATTACTAATCATACACATTAATATAAAAAGATGCTCCTCAGAGACCCTTGCTGTTTCAAGGAAAGACAACTGCAAATGTAAAATTCTACTTAACTTTTGAATAATATGATCTCTTGTTATTTTTGCTAGAATATATAAATGGACCATTCCATTAACATAATATGGGAGAAGAATTGTCTACATTATAATCACTTAAAAGAGAGGTATAAAATGATTTGAAAAACATTGGATTTTATAGCTGGCATAACTAAATCATATTTTAAAAAATGAAAAAAAAAAACATTATGTTTCTGCACCTAGTTGTGTGATTTATTCACTGACTGCTAATCTACAATATTGTATCTTACCTTCTTTTTCTTTTACAAAGCACTAAACCAATTACTAAGGTGGTTATCAAAGTCACCAAGAGGACGAGAGGCACAATGATGGCAATGCTTCCTGGAAAATAAATGAGTGAATAGATGAAGAAATAAACAAAATGAAGTAAAAATTGATACAACCAAATACTTTATTACACCAAATCACTTGACCATTGACATAATAAAAATAAAGCTTAGCCCAAATGTTTATATTTCAGGCTCATAATTATGTTATTGGAAAATTACTCTCCTCTTAAACACGTGCTCTGATGGAAATGTTTCTTTAGATATCTTTCATTTATGTGTTGCATTGAAATACCTTGAGATTACAGATCTGACGTTTTCTGTCAGTCTGTGTTTAGTAATTCCCATCACACATTTACTTGCAATGATTAAAGTACATGCTAGTACCTCTTTTTAAGTCAACTAAGACTGAATAAACATTTACACAGTTTCACTGACCACATTCCCACCCTTAGTTTTGTTCCTTTAGTTATCCATACTTTCTGGTCAGGGGTCCATGTGACAAGTTAGGTGGCAGCCTGGTAAAACAAAAGGGGTATCCAGTTTTAGCAAGACATATGTTGGGAGTTTGGCTTATGTGGCAAATGTCAATTATTTTCCTTTCTTCCATATATGAGAAAGGTCTTGGGTACTAGCACTAACAGAACATATCTTCAAAAGTGATCAGTGAAATTTGGTCTTTGTATTTATGCATCTGAGCACAGGGAGGAGGCAAAGTGGAGGAGATTTTATGTTCCATTTATATAATAGATTAGCAATAGGGTAATTGTTTTTTTAGTCAGTGAGTAGGCAGACAATAATAGCCCATTGCTAATAATGTGACCCACAGGAGAATATACCCAAATGTCACTTATTGTAGGAAGAAAACTGAATACAGGGTTGCCTGATACCAGGAAAGTATGACGTAGCTAATGTTAACTTTTCTTACTGAAAAATATCTAGTACACATGAAACAAAGTCTTTTGTCTACTTTGAATAAACCGCTGGTTGATACAGTCAAGTCAACTTAATCACCGGTTAACCTAAGAAACCAAGCAGCCCAACAACTAGTTAAAATTTAACATGGAGATCTTGAATGGATTAAGAACAGAACATTAAAAAGTCTTAAAGTATATGAATTTTTTCCGCAGATACATGTACATGTGAAAATATCAAGGTAGAAATTAATGGTGATATTATGCACAATAACCAGCCACTTAGAACTGTACTATAAATATATAGACCTGTTTTATAGCCAGACGATATCTGGTTGAGATAATCCATACTGGATCACTTGCCAAATACCAAAAAGGTTTCATTAAGAAAATTTCATGTATAAGATAAATCTCTAATTTAGGACTTGGAGAAATAACTTGTGTAAAGTAACCAAATAACCATCTCTTCTATCCACTTCTTTAGACACTTTCTAAAATGTAAAAGTCATTTTGTTTTTTCACGTAGTTATGAGAACTTATTGTGTTTGATATTACTATATTACCTCCTTTGTTTTGGGAAAGTGAACTTTATATGCATCTGTAATTTATTAGCAATTAATGAAAGTAGAGAATCTGGCAGCTTGGATGATAATTAACATTTGTTCACAAGTTTTAAATACCAGAGAACAGCTTGGTTTCTTCATAAACTATGTTTTCAACTGATTGATCATCACTTTATAAATTTATCTACTTCATTTTCCTCTAAAATTTGTGTAAAATTGGTGGGTGTAAAATACCTATCAATATAGTTTTAGGGTATATAAAATTTATTTTCTCTCAATGCAATTATAAGTCATTTTCTAAAAATATATTTTACTTGTTCTACAGTTTGACATTCCTGTGAGGTAGAAAGCTGTTAATTAAGTATGCTAGAAAATAAAGGGTTTCTTTTTTCTCCCTTCACAGATGGCAGTTGCAATCTCATATATTATTGCATTTTGTGTTTAAGAGCCTAGACTTCTAATATGTTTATGTAACCAATCAAAGTAACCACTATAACACCCTAGTGTCACTGATAAATAATGCAGGGTAGAACGTTGGCAAGTTTTTTTTAAATTTTATAAAATAGTTTTTATTGCTGGAAACCACAGGTATTTTAAAAATTATATAAAGATATTATAAAAATAAGCATTTTTCCTAGTATATATGACAGTAAATTTCATACTGTAAATACAATGACCAATCCCTATTGTAGGTGATTTTTTAACAGTACATTGTTAATGGAGTATTAGAAACTGGTTGAAAAATGTAAACTCTGTACTTATTAAGGGTGGAGGGGATATCTCAACAAGTTTCTCATTAAAAAGTAGAGCAAGTCTTTGTTGCAACACGGTTCTGAAACCTCATCATGCAACATTTTTCCATTAGAAGAAAGAACTGTAAGTGCTGTGCTGAAGAGCCCCTTTCCATAGGACAGCTAGTACAGCACAGCAGTTGAGATAATGGACTCTGGAGCCAGGATACCTCTATTCAAACCTCACTTCTACTATTCATTACCAACATATACTTAGGCACATTAATTATATCTGTCTCAGTTTACTCATCTATAATATGGGTATCATCATTAATAGTTATCATACAGTATTATAGATAGGATTATGCCAATCATAGAAAATGCTACATACATGCTTAATAAACAATCAAAACACATGTTCTTATAGCACTCTGTACATGCTTCTATTTTGCACTTCTCACAATATATTGTATCAGTTTGTTTTTGAGATATTTGAGGGCACAATCTGTTTCTCTTTGTTCTGCAAATAGTGCAGTCCTTAGGATATCATAGGGCCTATAAATTCCATTCTTATTTAGCAAATATATCAAGTGCTTGCTGTGCTCCAGACCCTCAACGTATACTCTATTTTTTTTATGTGTTTATTTTTTAATTTTTTTTATTTTTATTTTTTTTATTATTATTATTATACTTTAAGTTCTAGGGTACATGTGCATAACGTGCAGGTAAATGACCTTTCTTTCACGTTGCTTGATGTATAACAGAAGATGACAAACAAATGAGTTCATTCATTATAGTAGCATGAATGCTGTATTAGGGAAGTATGCACTGTTGTGGGAATACAAAGGAGGTGCCTCCAACGAGATCTGGGCTGGAGGAGGACTCGTGTGTCTCTGAGGCTTAAGCAGCAAGTCCTCTGTAGTTCATGAAGAGACTTTAAAGGCCAAGAGGATTACGATTAAGGAAAAACAGTTGGGGTGGGAGGAGTGTGCTGGAAGGAGATGTGACTACACTGGAAAGCAGAGGTGAGATTGTGAAGGAGTGTGTAAGTCATATAAATCAGACGGGCAATTGTACTATTTTTTCTTTTTAAAAAGATGATGTTGAATAAAATTTAGGAAGGAACATCTACTGAATTTATTGTTTGATTCAACTTAGGAAAGCAAAGAGAAGGTTAAGTATGGAACTTAAGTGTTGTTTCCATAGCCAGGTGGATTGGCTCAAGTCTCAGCTAAAGTATCACCACCTTTCAGCCATCCATATGGACAGATAGGCAAAATAAGGTATATGAAAATGACTGTGGTTAGGGGGTGGTGATGAGATCATTTGGGAACTGAGCTTGAGATCACTGTGGAATATAGATGATACAGATACAGATATATCAAGCAAGCAGTGAAATATGTCTCACACTTAGGAGATAAATCAATATCGAGCACAGGAATTTTGGGGAACCAACAGAGTTGATAACTCATGTCAAGGATTTATGTCTTGGCAAGGAAAGTGTATCCAGGACAAGGGGAGAGTATCTAGTGATAAACAGGTAAATTAACCAAGCAGAATAGAAAGAAAATAATGTCACAAAGAAAGAGTTGCTTCAAAAGAGGTAGAAGAGAAACTAGAAGTGTTCAGTATCATGAAGGTCAGAGGAAGAGAACATTTTACTTACTAATCAAATTTATAATAGAACAGTATTAGCGTAAATTACATAATTACAATGACTTCCTTTGACATGTTCTTAAGTTTATGTTTATAGATATGTATAAGTGTGGAGTATATATATTTGTTGAAATTAGCATGCTTTCTCTTAAGCATTTTGGTATATTGTAATGTTAAAAATTGTAAAGAAAATACGTTCCCAACTTAGTAAAGGTGATCCTTCCAGTGATCTTCAAGAGGCTACCTATCATCTTGGTCCTGTATCTCTAGCTTCACTTTGTACCACTCTTGTCCTCTTGATACCAGCACACTGGTCTTCTTTCAGTCTGCTGGACATGTCTAATTCTTTCTTGCTCCACGGTTGTTGTACCTACTGTCTTTTTTTTTTTTTGAGACGGAGTCATGCTTTGTTACCCAGGCTGGAGTGCAGTGGCGCGATCTCGGCTCACTGCAAGCTCTGCCTCCCGGATTCACACCATTCTCCTGCCTCAGCCTCCCGAGTAGCTGGGATTACAGGTGCCCGCCACCACGCCCGGCTAGTTTTTGTTGTATTTTAGTAGAGACGGGGTTTCACCGTGTTAGCCAGGATGGTCTCGATCTCCTGACCTTGTGATCCGCCCGCCTTGGTCTCCCAAAGTGCCCGGATTATAGGCGTGAGCCACCACGCCCGGCCGTATCTGCTGTTCTTTATTCTTGTACCTTGAGCCTCAAGTCTCAGCTGAAGTATCACCACCTCAGAGGAAGCACTCCTGACCCCACTTTTCCCGTGACAGTCTCTCTCTTTGCCCTTTTTATCTTTTTTGTTTTTGTTTTTGTTTCCTTCACGGGCCAATCAAAACTCACAATTACTTTTTAAATTTGAATATTTCCTTTTTTATTTGCTTCCTTGTTTTATTGCTGTTTACTCCATTAGAACCTCAGCTTCGTGAGAAGAGGCACTGTCTGCCTTCCTCACTGACCTGTCTCTGGAATCTAGTGCAGTACTTGACACTTAGCAGAGACTTGATAAACCTTTGCTTTGGGAGAAATGAAAAGAAAACATTATTTTGTTGCGTTTTTCAGTTATATCTCTATATTTGCAAATTTATAATTCCTGGTATAATATAACCAGTTTTTTTTTTAATTAAAATATAATGGATGATATAAAATGATAAAGACCAAGTAGAAAAAGAGATACAATGACCCCCAACAGATATCTTGCCCCTATTGTCACTATAGTAAAATACAGCAACTCTACTGTACCACAAATGCTGGATATATTTTTATCTTTCATAATTTCAGCAGATACAACAAATAACACAATTCAAACACTGATCATTCGATGCTCAATTTTATGTAAATTTTAAAATTTTATGTAAATTTAAAATAGAAGTATGCAATGAATATTTTATCATCCTGAGTTTAAAACTCTTCAAAATATCTTCAGAAGAGTCAGATTCGATTTTTAAAATGGAACCTGAGCACAAAGCCCTAGATAATAGATCTGCCTAATTCCACAAACTGCTTTTTAGACACTTTAAACATCAGAAGCCAGTGAACATCACTACCACTATTCAGAGATGATTATGAAGACCATGTAGAAATCAGAAAAGTAAATTTCTGTGTAAACTAATAGTAATTAGGCAGACAGAGGCAGTGTATTCTGGACTACGCCAATGAACGTCCACTGATGATGGAAATGCAGATTTGAAAACACATTCCTAAAGTTTCATCTTTCTTATTGGGTAGATGACTTCTGCTCAAGTTTGGGGAAGGTTTGACAACCATTCAAAATCACTAGATTTTACCCAAAAGAATAAAAGTAATCCTCTTTCATGGGAAAGGTCAGTTTAACTACCTTTTCCCTTCTTTCAGAGCTGCTGAGTCAAGTTTCTCTAAGCATAAATGTCTGATGATAAGCGTCTAATAGAGTCATTATTTGGTCAACTTTGCTCAAGTCTGTGATAATTTGACATATATGTAGCTAATAGCCCTTTCAAAATGCATTGATAGTTCTATTAAATTTCATGACTTTAAATTAGTGATGGGAGAAAGAGCTTCAGAATCTTTGGAAAGGGTTACAACTATTTGCAACTCTTTCGCCTATTTGATGTTCTTTACTTTAGAACTGTTGCATGTAATTAAAACCAGTTTCTTACATTTGCCCATGCAAATCGTTGGAGACCCCACTCTCTAACAGGAATGCCTGGAGCATTCTAGCTCCAATCCATTTTCCAAACACCAAACTTTCCCTTTGTGGATGGCGCTTATACAAAATTTCCAAATTCAATACACATTCCATGCTATTTCTTGTCAGAGTTTTAAAATTAAAAAAAAATTTTTTTATGCTCTAAAAAGGCTATGTATTTTTTTTTATATTTGATCATCAAGAAACTACTGTTAAAAAGGCTAAAGCATCTTTTCAATTCCTAATTTATAAAAGAAGCATGTTCTACAGGTTGATAACTTCAAATGCATTTCTTTCATTAATGCTCTCAATGATTGTTGAGTTTTGCAAATAGTTTATGAAAACCATATATAAATTAGTATGCCTCCAGAGTTATTACTGGTAATAATAGTTTGAGCCCTAAATCCTGGGAAGAGATACAAAGTATTTTTTCTTTTCTTTTGCATATCAAATTAGGCAAGACACATTTTGCCACTGCTAACCTTTTATCAACCAATTCCCCAATTCCCAGTGTCCTATTCCTACAATTATATGCTCATAGCTTCCCTATGACCTCTCCCTCCCTTGACCTAAGGAGAGCACACAAATTCAAAATGCTCCATAACCAAAAATCACCTCACCTCACCTATCCAAATTTAAATATTTATGCCAAGACTGTTTATTCTAGACCTATTTTCCATTTTTCAAAGATGCCCAGGCTTAATAAACCCAAATTAACTTCTAAATTGGGAAAAATTGGACAATGATATCAGAACTGTCTGGGGACAGAGACAACAAACGGGAACATCAGCAAAGATGGGAAGCCTGCTTCTAGGGTACAAAAATAATATATTTTATACTTTAATAGTCTCTTTCCTTTTTCACTAACTCTGAAACAGTATGCTTTTTGCTTGTTTTTATGAAATCCTTCTCACCAGCAGTAAAGGACTAGGGAAAAATTGCTAAGGTAAGCAATCTTCCATCAAGGATATTATTTTTCCTTTGCAAATTTATTTACACCCAATAGACAATACAATTGTTTCAAAGGTTTTTCACCAACGGTAAAATTAATGACAACATGTGTGAATTGCAAACTTTACTTCAGACTGTTATTTTGAAAAACTTTATAACATTTCAGGTTGTCAGAAACTGTACACAGACACACAATGATGATATAGACACACCTGACTCTAAGATTATGGCCGCACAAAAAAATTTGCAAAAATGGTGATCTATATTTTAATATACTTCAAAACCAATACTTTAAAGATAAAGAAGCAATAAATCAATGTAGATCTTTATTAAGAATTGCTTGTTAACTTGCTTCTCTTTCAGACTAACTAATAAAGTCTGTCTTTTTCCCCCCATGGCACATTGAAATGCATTCCAAGACAATACACTTTGCTCTAGTTAAAACATGGAATTAGTTTTCTTCCTGGAGTATTTTCACTTCCACTGTGGTATCTGCGACTTTTGCAGCTGATGAACATTTCCAAAGAAAAGCTTATGCTAGGTTAGGAGATGTGCATTCTGAAAACTCCCCAAATTTGGGATAAACTCTCCCAGCCTAGAAGAACATGAACATGAGCCTGTAATTAGATGAGAGCTCTGTGCTTCCTCTTTAAAAAACACCTCAATTGCAGTGAATCTCTTACAAAATTCCATGAAGATTTCATAAGACTCACCTCACTCAATAATGAGATTAAAATGATTTATATACAGTGTAGATTACCCAAAATATTAATCTGAGAAACTTACTTGTGCTGATGTGATCAGACTTGCTGCTCTTTGGGGCTGGCCTTTCACACTGTGTGCCTGACCAGTTGGTAGAGCATCTAAAAATATCCAAACAACAAACAACACAGATCAGTGAATAACAAAGCCCAGCAGTCTGCTAATGTAGTAATTTTAACAAAATGAAATGTTACAGGAGCCAGTCAGCACAAATTCATGAATATTACATAGAGATTTCTGCTGATTTCTTGCATATTGTTAGTATGCTGAGTGTAACTTTCATTGGACTTCATTTATTAAAATACTTTTTAAAATGTAGTTTTATAGACATTTTACTTTTTCTGTGTTAAAATTGGCACATTTTATAGTGATATTGAAATCTTGATTAAGAATTGGAAATTAATTCGAGAGTTACGGAAAATTACAAGTGGCCACTTACAAAAATTGAGTTTGCATGTTAAGCAAATCCTTCTATAAGTATCTGTGACTTGTTTTTCTGGTTGTTCTAAGTACAGAGTGGAACTAACTACCAAAGAGCAAATAGTTATCTGTCTCATAGTTCAAACTGAATAGTTTTTACTCTCCTGAGTAGAGATAACAAAATACAGGGCTTTCCCATTTTAAATCATTCTTCTATTAACATGAAGTCGAGAATGTGCCCAAGTTTTTATTGGGACGAATTGTTTTTCCCATGTAAGTACTGTGACACTATGATAAGAAATAGAAGACAAGAATAATAGATCTGATTAAAAGCCACTATTTAAGCATAAATCACAACTATGAAATTAGCTAGTTGCATCAAAATAAATGCTGGAACAGTTTTAGTTGTGTTTAAACAATGTCTATTGGCTAACATAAGATGCCTTTGTGTATCTGTCACAGGAAATTCACAGAGAAACAATTTAATTGGCTTCAGTTCTTAGTTAAAATGACTGTCAAGTACCACCATATCAAGAATAGCTGTACACAATAAAAAAACAGCTTCCAGAATCATTCCAAGTGTAACTCTCTGGGCATGGTGGGCCAAACTAAATAACTGCAATTTCAGTGTCTCTGCCAATTCTGACATAGCCAATTTTGATATCTGAGGCTGCTTCCTGAACTAAACTTCTATGATGCTGTATGAATTATTTGTGATAGTCATAAAATCAGTATTGGCTGTCCTAAAACATGGGCAAATTCTCATAAAATCATTATTACTGACAAAATCAAATAATAAACATAAAAGTGTTTCAAAGAAGCATATATAGACGTGAACACAATTGGCAATAAGGATACTATTAGATAAGAGTTATTTAATTAATAATGATAAATTTAAAACTATGAATATGGAACATGATTTAAATGAAAATTAATATTATTTATATTATGATTCAGGGCATCACTCATACATTAGCTCAACTTTTGTTGCCGCATCATAAAAACTTACAAATTATATAATTTTGTATACATCATGTTTATTATAAACCATAATACAAGTAAATCATTAACACAGAGAAATGCATTTAAGGCCAAGTCTACACCTCTGTATTAATAAAGTTAGGTAATGAAATAAGGATATTTTCAAATCATTAGAATAAAGTGAACAACAAATAAAATCATTATGTTTGTTTTTTCTTTTTAATTTGTGGTATTTGCAGATGAATGATCTAGAAAAATGTTCCAATTCTTCATATATTGTAATCATTGAAACAGTCCACAGATAGTTCAAAATAATATATTTGGGAACATTTTGCAAACATGTTCTTGGAGTGAATTGTAATGATTGTGAAATGCTTTTTGTGTTATGTAGCTTTACATCTGTCAAATCTTTCTAATTTACCCCCGAGAATATTTCATATGCTCCACTGAAAAACTAATGCTGACTGCTTAGTTACTTCATTACGTATTAATAGCTGTTGTGCTACATGTGTGCAATTACTTTGAATTATTAAAATATCAAAATTTGCTTTATACATTACCTCATTTAAAAGAAAAAAAAAACTAAATCAGGTTCATCTTAGATAAGTGACCCAAGGCATATTTTATTGTGTTACTGAAAAAAGAACCTCTGGGACTCATTAGTACACTTTTGGAAAAGCTTTGAAGTCAGAAAGTGGAATTGCTTGATAATTAGAAGATTAAATTTACTTGATCATATTATGGTTCTGACATGAACATCACATATTTTTAATAATTTGTAAAGTAATTATATTTTGAGATCTCCAGATTAGCAGAAAGAGGTTTTTGAATAAAGAGGATAAGGATAGTGTGATTCTTATTCCAAATTCTAGAATTATTTAAGTAGGACAGGTGTTTGTTAATATTATGGTATAATTTCCTAATTTATCCATGGCTTAGGGTCCAGTATTTATGATAGATAAAAGAAGTCACCTGCTAGTGTTCATAATCCTCTTCTCTTTTAAATTGTGGGAGCCCATTTAAATTCATAATCTTTACAGAATATTTTACTTATTATATATTGGAAAAAAACTCAAAGACTGTACTGGAGAAATAATTAATTTTAACAGTTATACATCTTAATGTGCCGATGATCACTTTGCCATTCTCCTTATACTCCTTATAAAATAATGTTTTATGGCCAAAGATAAAATATGTTCCACTGTTCTGCATTTGTCTCAGTCTTAAAAAATCTCTTTTGGGTTATTAAATAGAAATCATTATTCTTGTTGCCTACCTTACAAAATTATAACTTAAGGCATTTGCTGCTCCACAAGTTCTTCCAGTGGTTGATTTAAGACCAAGTATTTTTGCCATCTTTACAGCAATCCATAAATCTTCATACTTTAAGTAGACTACAATGATCAAAGCCATTAATGGCAGAGCATTTAAGAAATAAAATATGTGCAGATCATCAAAATCTCCTGTCCGATTCCTTGCTGAATTATTTGCATAGCCATGCTGACTATAATTTCTCTGGCATCTATCCCTTTTTTATTATTCCTCAAGCAAAATCCATAGTCCATGCACTGGTCATCTTTAATATGTACTGTTGCAATCCACTATTCTCTGCTATTCATCCGGGGACAATTATCTTCAAGTTAGCCCTGTGCTAGGCAATCTTTTTTGTTTTCCTCACCCTAGCAAACAGCTCTGTATCATTCATGTTAAAATTGCAGACGTTTCCCACTGCCCTTAGTCTTAGGACAATGAAAATCAGCTTTATCTTACGTACTGATCACTATACAACTGTAAATTATTTAACATTTTAAACAATTCTGTGAATATTAAGTATCATTGGATCAGGAACAAATGGATGGATAGACAGACAGGTAGGTAGGTGGATAAATAGATACTTATTGACTATTCAAATAATTATTTATCCTTCTTTCTTTACATCATCAAATGAAGGTACTGCTCTTGGCAGTTTCCTGCTGTCAATAGCTGCATGGTAAAGGGTATTGATTTAACATTATTTGACTTCTCTTTTTTTCTAGCATTATTTAGTGCTAAATTGTTTCCTTATTCTTCCACTTCCATAATAGTTGTATCTATAAGTGCTCTTAATTACAGCATATTTTATGGTATTCCCTTATGCTATTCCCTTATGTTCCAGACTAGAATAATGATTATGAAAAATGAGAAATGTTGAAATTCAGATTCTGGGGCCCCATATATCAGAGAATTCTTCAAGTAACTTGGGATTGTGGTCAGCATTCTTCATTTCAACAAGGTGAATCTGATAAAAATAATTCACAAGTCACACTTCAGGAAATATTTGAGATACATTATTATTATTATATTCTTACAGACTTTGTTCTTATACCAAATATCGTTCAATGTCTTATTGTGAAGATGAGAATAATAATATACAAGCCCAGCATGATTGCTCAAAAGATAATATAAGCTAGGTAGAAGTTCCCTACACAGTACCTGGAGTGTGCTTATTTATTTATTTTTTGTAACTAATTCTCATCTGAATGTTACTGTATGAAACACATGGTAAGTTAATTTATCGTGTCCCTGAGCAGTTTGTGTAATTATTGTATAGCTACAATATTTTTTGTTTCAATTATAATTTTCTGTAGCATAGGGGAACAACTTTGTATAAAAGCAAGAGTGTACAAATATTACTAGGAGGCACAATAAACACTTTTAGAATATCTAAATAAGTTCGGCTTTTGTAAGGGGACAAACTATAATCTTTAAAATGAAAGTTATTACATTTAGTAGCATAACTGTAAGACATATATTTAAACTGTCTAAAATAATAACTCTGAAATAGTAATTATTACAGAGAGAATTAAAATGAGATATAAAAAACTGAAGGTATATTAAAATCTTCAGATATTGTCCTTCCCGTAACAATGATCAATTTAGATGAACTGCTCTTGTCATTTTGCAGAAATGTGGTCTAGAGTCACCCACTTTGGGAGGACTTCAAAATAAAATAATGAGATTAATATCTGCTCTCTCTTTTCATCAAATTTAAAGGTCATGGGATTCTTCTGACCACAGTGAAATTCAAAGGTGAACCTTACAGCAATTTAAAATTGAATTTCTCCTCATATATACGTGCAAGGTTGCCCTTATTAACCATGATGATGGAGGCATTCAGGAAGGAAAAATCTTTTAATATACCCCTTTCTTTCTCTACACAGGAAAAAGATAAGTGGCACAAAGGGATTAAAGAAGCCTTGGGAAAATTGTGCATGGTGTCATGCATGTCTCAGTGCACTTAAAATCTCATTTAATAAAAATAAAAAGTATGATTGCAGGTTATGCATCAATTTATGTAAAAGCATTTTCATACAGTGAAGAAAATCAGAAAAATGCAGTTACTTGCAAAATACTTTTTTTTTCTGGTTAACTCATCAAATTACACTCTTCTGGTGGCGAGCATATAAAACTATATTTATATAATATTTCTCACTTGAAAGGTCTACACTCTATGTATCCCTTGTGTCTTTTGTACTCACTTCCCTTGCAGATAGTAGCACTGCAAGATGGAAAAAGAAAAAAAAAAAAAACAAAACGAAAACAACAACAACAAAACCTAGCATTTTAGGACAGATACTTAGATATTTATTCATCTGCTTAATTTTACTTTAAAACCTTTCCATCTGTTATTTTTTTTTTGCAACAATAGATCAAATTAGGT